TATTTCATTTCATTTATTTATTTATTTTTCTTCTTCTTCTCTTTCTAGGTCCAACCAGTTGAACCCTCTCTGTTGACATACTTGAAAACAAAGCAAGACATCTCCTACTCAGTAGTATCCACAAGTCCTGTGATTCATGTTCAGCACCCATCAACACGTGTGTTTCAGAAGCCAATCACTGTATTCCTACCTTGTTCTCCACACTCTGATAAAAAGAATCTGGGATCTGAGATAGATCATAAAAATGTAGCTAGTGTCACAACCAACAGGATCATTCCTTTATTTCTCAACCAGTAAGTAAGATCCTAATGATATGTACATATTATAAATATTTTATTTAGAAATAATACATTGTGTATCTAACAAAGTAATGATTTTAGCTGTAATGGACCCAAAAATTTGCTATGCAATAAGAAATAAATGAAAGATATAACAATTAATCATTGTTTTCCAAGAGCTCATCACTGAAAATTTAAAAAATATAAGATAGCATACCAAAAACCAAACTCACAGCCATCAAGTCGGATCCGACTCTTAGTGACCCCTCCTTGGTTTCCTGAGGTGGTATCACTAGGGAAGTAGATTGCTCAATCTTCCTTCCGAGGAGTGGCTGGTGGGTTTGAATCTCAAACCTGGTTAGCAATCAAATGTCTTAGGCACTAGGCTACCAGAGCTCCTAAGATAATAGTTGGTGATTTTAATTTCTATATTTAAGAGTGTTCTTTTAATGTAATAACTGACTTACGTGTAACATTGTAGCTAATGATGTTTTTTTTCCCCCTAAACATAGTCAGCTTCAATCTTTTTTTGCCATGAAGGTAATTTCTTTCTTTGCCCAATTTTTATAATTGAAGAAAATTCCCACTAATAAGATTTTATGTGTATGTGTGTGCATATAAGTCTGTGTGTGTCTACTAAGTTACCTTACAGAATGAAATGAAACCAGAAACAAAATGTTAACAGAAAATATGGTACACTGGTGTTGTTAGTTGTTGTCAGGTGCCACTGAGTCAGTTCTGACTCATAGCAACTCTATGTACAACAGAATAAAACATTGTCCATGCTGGTGCCATCCTCAAAATTATTGTTATGTTTCAGCCCATTGTTGCAGCCACTGAATCAATTAATCTTTATAAGGTTCTTCCTCTTTTTTACTGACCCCCTATTTTACCAAGCATGATGACATTCTTCACGAACTGGTCCTTCCTGGTAACATGTCCAAAGTATGTGAAAGGCAATCTTGCCATCCTTATTATTAAAGAGCATTTTGCTGTACTTCTTCCAAGGCAGATTTGTTTGATCTTCTGGCAGTCTACAGTATATTTAATATTTGTCACCAACATCATAATTCAAATGCATCAATTCTTCTGTAGTCTCCCTTATTCATTGTCCAGCTTTTGCATGCAAATGAGGTGATTGAAAATATCTCGGCTTAGGTCATCCAAAACCAAACTCAGTGCCGTTGAGTTGGATCTGACTCATAGCAACCCTTGCTTGGGTTTCTGAGGCGGTATTACTACAGAAGTAGATTGCCCAACCTTCCTTCCAAAGAGTGGCTGGTGGGTTTGAACCACCAGTCTTCTGGTTAGCAATCAAATGCCTTAGAAACTACTTTAATCCTCAAAGTTACATCTTTGCTTTTTAATATTTTAGAGGGATCTTTTGCAGCATATTTGTCCAATGTAACATGTTGTTTGATTTCTTGACTGTTGCTTCCATGGGCGTTGGTTATGGATGCAAGTAAAATGAAATTCTTGACAATTTCAATCTTTTCTCCATTAATCATGCTGCTGCTTATTGGTCAAGTTGTGAGGAATTTTGTTTTCTTTACGTTGAGGTGTAATACTTACTGCAGGTTGTAGGTGTTGGTCTTTATCCATAAGTACTTCAAATCCTCTTCATTTTCAGCAACCAATGTTGTATCATCTACATATCCAGGTTGTTAACAATTTCCTCTAACCTTGATGCTTTGTTTTTCTTCATATAGTCCAGATTCACAGACTATTTGCTCAGCATACAGGTTGAATAAGCATGCTGAATGATATAACCCTGATACAAACCTTTCCTGATTTTAAACCACGTAACATCCCCTTGTTTTGTTTGAACAATTGCCTCTTGGTCTATGGACAGGTTCCTTATGAGCACAATGAAATGTGCTAGAATTTCCATTACTGTCAATTTTATAATGAATAATTTCTTACGATTCACACAGCACAATGCTTTTGCTTAGTCAATAAAACACAGGTAAACATCTTTCACCTATAGTGGACAGGTTAAAATGGAGCTTCCCACACAAAGATAGACTAGAAAGAAGAAAAAAAAATGACCACTGAAAACCTTATGAATAGCAGGCAAACATTGTTTGATATAGAGCCAAGACACAAATACAACCGTGGGAAGAGCTGCTTCCTCGAAGGAGAGTTGAACTTCATGATGCCTATGGAGTAAAGCTTTGGAGACCTTCATTTGCCAGTGTGGTACCACTAAAAATGAGAAGAAACAGCTACAAACATCCATTAATAATAGGAACATGGAATGTATGGAATATAAATCTAGGAAACTGGATTTGTCAAAAATGAAATGGAAAGCATAAATATCTATATCTTAGGCTTTAATGAACTGAAATGGACTGATGTTGGCCATTTTGAATCAGACAGTCATATTGTCTACTATGGCTGGAATGACAAATTAAAGAGGAAAGGCATGGCATTCATCATCACAAAGAACATTTCAAGATATATCCCAAAGTACAATGCTGTCAGTGATAGGATAATATCCATATGCCTGCAAGGAAGACTATTTAATATTGCTGGTGTTAGGTGCCTTAAAGTCAGCTCAGACTCATGGAGACACTATGTACAACAGAATGAAACAGCTCAGTCCTGCCCCATCCTCACAATCTTTTCTATGCTTAAGTCCATTATTGCAGCCAATGTGTTAATCTATCTTGTTAGGGTCTTCCCGTTTTTCACTGATTTTCTGCTTTACCAAGAGTGATATCCTTCTGAAGGGATGAGTCCCTTCTGATAACATGACCAAAGTATGAGTGATGATGTCTGGCCACTCTCGTTTCTAAGGAGTATTTCCACTATATGTCTTCCAAGACAGTTTTGTTCATTCTTCTGGCAGTCCATAGTATCTTCAATACTCTATGCCAACACCACAATTGAAATGCATCAATTCTTCACTCTTCCTTATTAATTATCCAGATTTTACACGCATATGGGGCAATTGAAAATACCATGGCAAACCCTAGTCTTCAAAGTGACATCTTTGCTCTTTAAAATTTTAAAGAAGTCTTTTGTAGCAGATTTGTCCAGCTCAATACTTCCTCATTAATACTACTATTATTCAAATTTTCACACCACCACTAAAGCCAAAAAATGAAGAAATTAAATATTTTTACCAAAGTCTGCAGTCTGCAATTGATCAAACATGCAATCAAGATGCATTGATAATTACTGGTGATTAGAATGTTAAAGTTGGAAACCAAAAAAAGGATTGGTTTTTGGAAAATACTGTCTTGGTGATGGGAAGAACTTTGGAGATTCCATGATTAAATTTTGCAAGACCAATGACTTATTCATTTCTATTTGCCTTTTTTAAAATGACATTAACAGCAATAATACATGTGGAACTCACGAGATGTAGTATGCAGGAATCAAATCGACTGCATCTGTGGAAAGAGGCTAGGGAAAAACTCAATGTCATCAAACTGAACAAGGCCTGAGTCCAGCTGTAGAACAGTGGAAGTTGAAGCTGCGGAAAATCTAAAAAAAGTCCGTAAGAGCTAAAATATGACCTTGAGTATATCCCACTTGAATATAGAGACCATCTTAAGAATAGATTTGATGCATTGAACACCAGTGACTGAAGACCAGACGGGTTGTGGGATGACATAAAGAATATCAAACATGAAGAAAACAAAGGGTCATTTAAAAGACAGGAAAAGAAGAGAAAACCAAAAAGGAAGTCAGAAGAGACTCTGGAATTTGCTTTTGTACAGATTGCTGGTAAAGTGTTTGGAAGAAATGATGAAGTAAATGAGCTGAACAGAAGATTTCAAAGGGCAGCTTCAGAGGACAAAGTTAAGTATAATAATGAAATGTGTGAAGACGTGGTGTTGGAAAATCAAAGGGGAAGAACACACTTGGCTTTTCTCAAGCTGAAAGAACTGAAGAAAAAATTCAAGCTTCAAGTTGTGATACTGAAGGATTCTATGGGCAAAATGTAGAGGATTAGCAAAGAAGGAAGACCCTCAATGAAATTGACTGACACAGTGACTACAATGATGGGCTCAACTATAGCAAGGATTGTGAGAATGTTGCAAGACTGGGCAGTGTTTCCTTCTGTTGTTCATAGGGTCACTATGAGTCAGAGCTGACTTGATAACACTGAACAACTACAACAGCAACATGGGAGAAATATAGATCAATGCAGGGAGCATTAAAAGAAGATGGAGGGAATACACAGGGTCACTGTAGCAATAAGAATTGGTCAACATTTATCTATTTCAGGAGGTAGCATATGATCAAGAACCAATGGTATTGAAAGAAGAAGATCAAGGTGCACTGAAGGAATTGATGAAAAACAAGCCTCCAGGAATGGATGGAATAACCTTTGACATATTTCAACAAATGGATGTAGCACTGGAGTTGTGTACTTGTTTATGCCAGGAAATTTGAAAGACAGCTTCTTGGCCAACCAATTGGAAGAGATCCATATTTGTGCCCATTCCAAAGAAAGGTAATTGAACACAAAGTGGAAATTACCAAACAATATCATTAATAATATAAGCAAGTAAAATTTTGCTCAAGTTAATTAAAAAATAGTTATAGCAGTGCATTGACAGTGAACTGCAAAAAATTCATTCTG